AACTACAGTTTGCTTTTGTAAATAAAATGTATTCCCTGTTACGTGGAATTTCTATTTGTGTTCATGTGGGCCTGGAAGTTTTGCGGACACCAAAAAAATCGGCCACAAGGAAGAAAAGGTTGAGAAACACTGTTCCACACGATAAAAGAATTGAAAAAAAAAATAAAGGAAGATGAAGTGGTAAAGAAGATGTTAATGGGTAAAGGTCGTGGATAAGTATGAAAGCTGTAGGAAAACGAAAAGAAAAGCGGGTGAAGAAGAAAGATGGAAGACATAGAGACGAAAGAAAGACACAGAGAGATGGAACTGCGGTCTTGAGTTTTATTACTCCTTTACCCCTTTGATAGTTTTAAAAGTTGGGTGAAACTTCTTTTAATTCCGACAATACTACTGTGTTAATATGGAGATATTCTTCGAGAGACCTGTCACAGTTTGTAGAACTGTATTGGAGACTGCAAGTTAGGGTCCCAAAGATAGATTACATAGATACCAATAAGTGTTATTCTTGGATTTTTACAAGCACACAAATAGTGCGACCGCAGAGAGCTTTACGATTTTTTTTTAATTGACCAAGGTCTAAAATGTCTCCTCGAAAAGTAACCCATCAGCAGGTGTAGGCGTTATCAAACGAAACGCGGCCTTGCCTCAATTTTGTCGCGTTTGATGCCATAGCAATATTTGTTGAATGTTCCAAATGTTTAGTACTTTTTATTGGTATATGGCATCCTATATAGTCTCTCCACTGCGCATGTCCATATGTTTATTACTTTTCTTTTTTTTCTCCATTCGTCTAAAAATGTACGAGAATTTAGTAGTCACACGTCATGCATACGTCACTCACACGTCACCGAAATTTTAGCCAATCATGTTTTTCTCTTTCTTTCCGCTTCTCTCATTTTTTGTTTCTTTTTAATATTTGTTTTTCTGTTGCCTTTTCCTTTTATAACTGTTCGCCTCTCTTTGACTCTCTCTTCGTTCAACCTTTTCTGAAACGGCACAATATGTGCTTCGTCCTTAGAGATCCATCTCCCAGACATCATCGTATGGTAGGTTCAGAGTTGACTTCGCTGGGAAGTAAATGGATACTTGTTTAATTTCTAATTTTTTCTTGCCTCTTCAATATAGAGAATCTTTTAAAGTTATTTATATTGACAATATGTGGTATTTTCTGGCGTCGAAGACGCTAATTTTTATCCCAGAAAAATGACACTGCGTCACAGATGAAAAGCATTGCTTTTTTATTTTACTTGATTTTATAGTTTATTTATTTACTGAATATTTTGCTAATCAGAATTACATTGCATCCTTGACTCCACAGCATCCTTTGTAATACGATATATATCAATATCTGTTAACTGAAATGTTATATTTTCGTGAATACACGTGTGTGAGTAGACGTCCTTTTCTTAAACAGCATCAATTACCTATATCAACCTGTGCTTTCGAGTGTCTTAATAAAGAAAATATAGCCTCTATTCATTAAGACTCGAATGTACAGGCCGATAGATATAATATGCAACGTTTTAATATATATATATATATATATATATATATATATATATATATATATAAAATACAATAAAAATCTGAACGCAAATTTACCGTGGATGTTCTAACGATCAGAGCACTTTCTATTCCTTTCACCTTTCTAAGCTGTTTTCTCTTTCAATTATTTGTATTGTGTGTAATACGTTGAATGCAGTACTCTGTTCCCGTAATGGGTGTGGGCATAATTTCGATTTAAAAATGCCACTTTAATTAATGGGGATTAAATTAAATTTACTAAGGCGAAATTGTATAGAAAGTGCAGTGATTGCTAGATCATCCACGGTAAATTTTGCGTTCAGGTTCATACAACACTTCATCTTTTTTGGTATATCTTCTATTATCGTAGTGTATTTATATACATACATACATATATATATTTCTAAAGAAAGGGATGGATTTTTTTTTTTTTTTATTAATCCGACAGACTTAAACGTTATTTTTAGCGGATAATCGTATTTGGGTAGACGCTCCGTTAGTTTATTAAACAGTGTATTTTTTATTTTCGTCTATCGGCCTGAATGTTCGAGAAATCTCATTAGTGAAAATATGCACTCTCCGGCAGGACTCGAACCTGCGTTTCCCAACCGCCATTTGAACTGGTGTGCTTTAGATTTCTTGGGCACGGATGGTGCATATTTTTCTCTGATAACATTTCTCGAATATTCAGGCCCGTAGACAAAAATAATAAAAATAGTGCTTAATAAATAAACGGAACGTCTACTCAAATACGAGTATCCACTGAAAACAACGTTTATATATATATATATATATATATATATATATATATATATATATATATATATATATATATATATATATAACAATGACTACATCGATAACTCCATTATTAGACAGAATAGTTTCCTTTAGAGGACGAGAGGCGTTACTTGGGACTTTTTTTATGGACAAAAGTGCGCTCACCATTGGGGGTAGGGCGTTTGTTCATATAAGACACGTACATATTATGGTGACTGAGAGTTTCACACCTTAAGTAATCATCAGATCATTTGGATTTGGAAAGAGGGGCTGATGATCACTTAAAGCGTGAAATTACCAGTAATCATGTAGTGTTGATTTCTATATCCGCACACACATGTATATATATATATATATATATATATATATATATATATATATTTACGAATAGATTTTTCATTTGTTAATCCGTCGTATTATAATTTTATTGCTTAGATATAATTTTTAATACATATTTTCATAGATGAACTATTTTATTCAGTTATTAAACAATATATTTATTTATTTCCATCTAACGGCCTGAATATATTTTGAATATTCAGTCCGCTAGATGTAGATAAATAATACACTGTTTAATAAATAAATAAAAACTATCTACTCAAATATGGATATCCATTAAAAATAACGTTTAAGCAATAAATATATATATATATATATATATATATATATATATATATATATATATATATATAAGTTATTCGAAAATTATAACATAAATATGTTATAAAATCACAAGAAAAATTGTGATTTTAAACCATTATATTATTATATATTAAATTATATTTGCTCTACTCTGTATTGAGCCCTCTTTTAAGAATAATATTTTTTTTGGTTATTGGAATTTATTCCGTATACACCATTTCTATACTTGGTATATATATATATATATATATATATATATATATATATATATATATATATATATATCCAGGTAAAATGAGAATACATGGTGTATAATTCCACTGTTCATAAGATTTAATTTAAAAAGGGCTCAATACAGAGTAAAGCTAAATATTCTTTAAGATATTAAAACAAAAACATCTTAAAAATCTCTACACAATGGCATTTTTGTTTTAATAATCTCATATAAATAATATATATATATATACATAATCAAATGTTTACTTATATAATATATATATAAGTATAACTTATATATATATATATATATATATATATATATATATATATATATATATATATATATATATATATATATATATTCATTTTGTCTGTATTATTTAGGATGGAATAGTTCAGTTTGTCGTCAATTTTATTATTTTTCTATTTGGAGATCGATGTTGGTTTATGGATTTTAACATTTCCATAAAGATAGCCGCGATGTTACTCACCCACAATTTTGTTGAGTTTCACTGATCCTATTTCTACGTTAATTGTTTATTTGTGTCTTATGAAATAAAATTGACGACAAACTGAAGTATTCTATCCTAAATAACACAGACAAATATAAAAAAGTAGAGAAAAATACTATTAGCCTTCTTAAGATGCAAATAAATAAACTCATTCCAGTTAACAACGTAGAAATAGGATCAATTGTGGGTGAGTATCATCCTGTCATATAGGAAGAAATTGTGTAACCACCGACAACAAGGTTCGACCGTGACATTATATAAATAGCGGTGTCAGGCTACTGACTGGAGTGCTTATTGATTGGAACTATTCAGTCGAATTAGTGTGAATTAATGTGCGTCGATGATTTGCGTTTCGATTTAGGATTTACCGAACCGCGGTAATAACAAGGTATTCACTGAAATGGTTAATTATTTTTGGTTAACTTTTACTTCTTTGTTCTTGTTAAGTATTTAGTTGCGGTTGTAATTAAATACTGTTTTATCTTAACATTGAAGTCTTGAGTTATGCTTAATCATTAACGGCCACCGTACGTCACAAAACATCTTTTATGGAAATGTTAAAATCCGTAAACCAAACCCGATCTCCAAATGCAATGAAATAATATATATATATATATATATATATATATATATATTATATATAAATATATGGGAAAAAACAAAAAAAAAGTTCTCTTGTGACGCGTTTCGTTCTTTTATATATATATATTTTTTTTTTCTCGCTTATATAAACACGTATCACGAAAATAAACTTTAATAATAATGACAAATAATTTAATACATTCAAAATACTCACACATATATATATATATATATATATATATATATATATATATATATATACACACAGGTATTTTATATGTCTGTGTTGTGTGTCTGTGTGAATAGACATAGATCAGTTAAAAATCATAGAAAATACCGAGATACAGAAAATGGTTTGTCCAATCATGACTCACTAATTATCTTTTTTTATACAATTTTTCTTTTATGCTCTCTCTATATAATTATATTATATATATATATATATATATATATATATATATATATATATATATATATCTGACTAGACGGAAGAGAATATGAAAAATTACATCAGAATCATTAAAGGTCTCTTTTTTCTCCCTTTCAATTGCACCCCCAACACCCAGCGTCTATTTCCACACTCCAAAGAAATTCACAAATATTCTTGCATCTATCAAAATGTCTCTCTGTATGCACATAACCTTACATAACAAACGCACCATCGCATAAAAAAACAATTTTTTTTCCTTATTTTTTTTTGTTCACCAGTTTTCTCGTACATTCTTAGACGTCAGACGTTAGTCAGGATATCCTTCCTGACATATTCACTGAGTTTGTGACAGAGGGAAGCTTCGAGTCGTCCTTGCCGCAGCAGCCTTTTTTCATTTTGCGAATCAGTATCCTCACCTCGTTTCTGAATGACTCGTTGCAGAACCCGTAAATGACGGGATTGAGTGCGTTACTAAGAAAATACGAACGCAACACGAGCTTTTTGATACTCGATATGGTCGGCGTGGAAGACTTGGAGAACTTTTTAATGGCTTCGATGATTCGCACTGACAATCCCGGCATGAACGATATAATAAAGAGTAACGTTACCAAAAAGACAGTCATGTTCGTTTTGCCCATAGCCCGCGGTTTGGTGACGCGGCGTACCGATAGTTTCTCTTCATCTCGCGTGGAATTCTCGCCAGGTATCTGGCCGCGAGATCTCCTCCAGACTTGCCGCCAGATCAGTGAATAGCAGATAATCATGAAAACAAACGACATCAAAATTATGCCTAAGATACTGAAGTAATACAGAGACGGGTAGAGCGTGTTTTTCATGTTGTCAGCGATGGAACAGTCAGACCCGTTGACAAAACCAAATCGGGTGGGTGTCGTCCGGATTCCAAATATGACGAGAGTGGGCCACGTCAAGACAGCGGCTATAACGGTGGTCACGGCCGAAATCTTGCGTGCCAGTTTCGGAGATATTTGAACCTTCAGTGGATGACACACACGCCGGTAGCGGTCAATGGAAATGACTAGAAGGATGAGGCTTGATGCTCCGTTCGTTAGAAAGGTGATGAAGCGCAGCATTTTGCAGAGCAGGTCCGAAGGAAACATGTAGGGATATCGAAGGTCAAGAAGCTCGGTGGGCATCCCAATACAGCAGCAGAGAAGATCGAAAATGCCGAGAGTGATGATAAAACAGTTGGTCGTTGTTTTGCGCATGCGAAATCCAAACACGTAGCAGACGATAACATTGCCGATTGTACCAATTATCATAAGAACGCCAATGTAGATAATGGCGGGAATTCCAACCAATACGCGTTCGTCGTTCAGATCGCTCAAAGACATATTTCGCATGCCGGACGCCATATTTTTTTTTTTTTTTTTGGCGGGGTCTCTTCTACTGGATATTTTTTTTAAATGTTATTTAGTTGCTTTTTTGTTAATTTTCCGATCTGAGCTTTTTTTTCTTTTAAATATCTTTTTTATTCTAATAGAATGTTTGGAGATGCGGCTTGTTGTTAAATATTTTTGCACATATAGGATTAAAATATTGAATGTAATTTTTTTTTAATGTTTGCTGTGAATATTAAAAAAAAAGAAAAATCAAAGCTCTTTTTTTGTCACGAAACAAAACTAGTAGTTGTAGTGTTCTCGTTTCAGTTAAATAAATGTTCGTTGTGATACTTTTTTTTCTCTCTTCTTTGGAGGTAACAGTATCATAAAAAAGTTAGAAAAATCCAAGTATTGGAACTTTAATATGATATTTTTAAAAAAATCAGTGTAACTATTTGGCTAAATATTTCATATATTTCTCGTAAATTTCACCAAAAATAACTTCCTTTTTTTTTAAATAAAATTGTCTGGGCAATCTCAATTTAGATACGAGAAAATATTTTTTTTTAAATTTTAGTTATTTCTATAAATTATTAGTTTTCGAATTGTCTTTTTCGTTGCTGTAGATAAAATTCGTGGGCGTTAACATAATAAAACGCAGTTCATTTCTTCAAGATGACATAAAAACCATGAAATATGAATCCGAAAGTTTCAGTAAAAATATGCTGACTCTGCAGGTTGCTTCTAGTAAGAATTCATCATACGATATTTTTTTTGCAAAATGGCGGCCATATTATTTTTTTACCGAAAAGGCCGCTTTATGTTGTTTGTTTTATGCTACTACATATTTGCACAGTTTTTTTTATGAGCATTTTTATTTTCATCTTTCGCAAGTGTTACCTCGAAGTCGTAAAAGTCGACTATCATAAAATATAAAGCAATATATGCTTAACAGCAACAAAGACTATCTGGTAAAACCCCTAACATAAATCGGCAAAATATTCTCGCGATAGTCAGTTCGTAAATATACTTCCAACTCCGATTTTTTTTGCTTAGTTCTCTTGATAATGAACGAAATCTTTTTAAGCTTGATTGTCTATTAATAAAGAGAGAATTATATAAAGAAATTCTCAAGCAATTTAAAAAAAAAATGTAAGTAAAATCTATCTTGTTATTTCCTTTTTAATTTACGCGTTCGAAATCGGAAGTAAGTTAACAGCTTCCGGTTTATGGGTTATCAATTTTTTTTTTAAACAGTTATTCTTCTTTTGTTCTCTTCACAGACGAACTAGTAGTATTAGTAGATGTTACTAGTAGCAAAAGAAGAAAAGAAACAAACACACATTGGTAGCAGCGAGTATGTGTTCTTGTTAGTGCTAGAGCTGAATTTGTCGCACACTTTTATTGTAGACCTGGTAGCCATCCGGTGGAAATAGTTGGTGAGAAGCTTGTTCCGTTTAGCAAATGTAGCACTCAGGTTGGTGTCGTTGATTGGTTCGGGAGGGCGCTAATGTCGCCGGAAGGAAATTCGCTGTCTGTGTTCGTAGCGGGATGCGGCCAAGATCTGAAAGACTATAAAATAATGGAGAGTGAGTTGACACCACTTCAGTTTGGGGACACAGATTAGGTGTTTGCTTCGATGAGCAAGACGCACGCACGCAAACACACATACACATACACACACATTCAAGCACTCAAAACACATACACACCTAGAAAGGAACAAAACAATATTTTTTTAATATTCCATTACACTTCTGGAAATATGTGATCATGGTTCTCCACAGCCTCTTTTTTTCTTTATTATCTGTGAATTACTACGATTTCGGTGGAAAGATAATAGACTTGTTTCCAGTTGCTTTCTCCTCAATTCAGATTCTTACTTCTCCTAGACTGACCACCTAAGGCCACTAATTCCAGTCTACAGTTTAATCCATAGCTAGGGAAACAAGTCACCTCGATGGGGTGTAATGGTTAGCAAACTTGTCTCGCTAGAACAGTTACGACTGAGTAGTGAGTTCGATCCTCACTGGGTGCCCCATACTTTCGGCCTTGTGCCACATCCGAGCTACGCTTGGAAAATCGCTATACTTTCGGCTTTGTGCCACATCTAAGTTAGGCTTATCAAATCATCATAGCTACGGTCCAGGGAAGAGGTTCCTTCCTTGCAAGATTGAAAACGCAAAAACGGCCCTTTTCAGGGCCACACCCCATTCAAATTGTTAACCCCCTTCCCCCATTTGGGGATGTACCTCAGTTGCATTCAATTGTTGTTACTAATATTGATAATTTATTGGGAAAGATACCGGGGTAATCTTCTTGCATTTAAAAGCGAAGGGAAATTTTGAAAGTAAAATTCGACCTTTTATTTTCTGAAAGATTTCTGAATATAATTTCAGTATTGAAACTGAAGCAAATTAAAAGTATTAAGCGTGATTTAACTATAACTAGTTGTATAACCCGCTTTCGACCGGGTCTTTCATTACTGGGAATTTTTGCCGTTCAATTGGAGCAGTTTAAATTTAAAGTCAACCCACCTGAAAATCAATATTAGTAACAACAATTGGATACAACTGAGACACATCCCCAAAATGGGGGGGGGGGTAACAATTTGACCGGGGGGAGTAGCCCCGAAAAGGGTCGTTTTTGTGTTCTCAATCTTGCAATGTTAAATTGTCCGTCATAATAATAATAATAATAATATACGATAATTTTTATTTAGAATATTTTTTTTACCATTCTAATAATATTTTGCGTTAGATTCCAACTCTCTGAATTGATTGTACGCTATTTTTAAAGACAATAAATTTTGCCTTTGATTTTTGCGCAAAGTGTAAAAAATCAGGTTTTTCGATTTTTCACCTTCAAGGTTGTAATTTTTTTCCAGCCAATTTGAACTCAAAACTGGCACTGAAGAATTATCTATCAAACAAAAAAATTTAATCGAAATTGGATGAAAACTTTGGAAACGCATAAAAAAGCATCCAATCAGACACACACGTACATACAGACACACACAGACACACATTTTGAGAATTATAGATATAGAGAAAAAAAAACACCTTAATATGAATTCAGTATTAAAACTGGAACAACTTAAATGTGTTAATCCGTTTGTTAATTTGAAAAACTAAACCGTAGAATTTTAAAAGTAAAATTCTGACGTTCATTTTCTGGTAAAAAAGATCATAATCTGAATTCAGTATTAAAACTGAAGTCAGTAAAAATTAAGCGTGGCCTTAACGTTAAAAAACGAAGCGGGAGAATTTTATGAGAAAAAAATTCTGACTTTATTTTCTTAACTATTTCTTAATATAATTTCATTATTGAGACTAAACGTTAACTGTGGGTTAACTTGAAAAAAACTAGCCGAAGAATTTTATGAGTAAAATTCTGCCTTATATTTTCTTGAAAAAAAATTGTTACTATAAATTCAGAGCTAACTGGGCGTTAATTTTGCAAACTAAAATGGACGACATATATAGATTAAAGAAAAACGTTCTCGATAATGATTTTCCAAGCGTAGCTTAGATGTGGCACAAGGCCGAAAGTATGGAGCGCCCAGTGAGGATCGAATTCACTAATCAGTCGTAATTGTTCTAGCAAGACAAGCTTTCTAACCATTACACCACGTCGAGATGCCCAAGTGATTTTCCAAGCGTAGCTTAGATGTGGCACAAGGCCGAAAGTATGGAGCACCCAGTGAGGATCGAACTCACTATTCAGACGTGATTATTCTAGCGAGACAAGCTTGCTAACCATTAGACGGTCTTCAGGTACCCAAGACGTTTTCGATACAAGTGTAAAATTGAATCTTCTATGAATTTTATGAAGGCCAAAGAAAATGTACAAAAATACCTTTTCTCTTTACAGGAAGAAGTTTTTTTTTTGCGTGGCCAGATAATGTTTAACGCATAATGGATCAAATATATTAGCATCAATAGATATTTGGACATAAAAGAAAAAGGTACAACTTGTGAAGGAGATTGTCTTTGTGGTGTACTGAGAGATTTGGTTGAGTTAGCTTATCATTTTAAGCAAGATACTAATTTCTGGGATCATGGTGCTGAATGGTGGAACTATCAGTCTGTTATTAGTTCTGTCTGGGATTTATATTGTTTCTGTCCTGATAAAACTTCAAGTGACTTTTTTGAAAACGAAAATTCTAAAATTCCAGACACCCTCTGTGGCATATTATGGTTTATTGCAAAATCTAATAATAGATATTTAAGTGAAACTAAAAACAAAACACCTCCAGTGAATTCTCTGAAAATGAAAATTCTAAAATGTCAGAGTCTCTTTGTGACACTGCTTTGAGGCCTTGTGCTGTGTCTAATGATAGGTATTTAAATGAAAATAATAAACACATTAAATAAGTTTGAAAATGAAAATTTCAAACTCTCTTTGGGATACTAATTCATTGACGGATACTGCTATATCTAATGATATTTAAATGAAACTTATAAAAGACTAAAGTGACTTCTTTGAAAACGAAGATTCTGAAATGTCAGACACACTTTGTGACACAATTACACTGACAGCCAGTGCTATATCTAATGGTATATATTTAAATGAAGCGAATAAAACATCAAGTGACCTCCTCGAACATTTTCAAGAAGGTCACTTGATGTTTTATTATATATATATATATTCATTTATATATATATATATATATATATATATCTTTTCCGGTATATCTTTAATGTATTTTAGAGATCCGAGAATATTCATATTTCTCTCACTTAAACCGTCTTTGATTTTCCTCTTTAAAACTTCTCTCTGTTAAATTTTATCCCCCCACTCATCTTAAGACCTTCCTGTTCTTCTCTCGTCTGTTACCCCTCCCTATAGCTTTCATTTACTCTAACATTCGTCCCCTACTCTCATACATACACTCCCACTAAATTTTATTTTTTATTCCCGGAGTTGTTTTTTCTGTTTTCTTTTTGAATTTGTAGGTCTGATGAATTGGATCGTATTTACGATTCCAATGGAATAAATTGTGACCATGGA